TCATGATACCTTCCAATGTTTGCCAATCTCATGACTTAAAATTGCATTTCTCTGATAACTCTCTGTTATATGTTTATTGGCATTTATATTTAAATTTTTTTCCTATAAATTGCCTATCACTATCCTTTGCTCACATTTCTGTTAGAACTCCTTTTTCTTGTGGATTTTGTTATTAGTCTCTTGTCCATGAGAAACATTTATCATAATCTCCCCTAATTTGTCATCTGGTCACTTTGTCTATGATAGTCTTTGTTAAAAAGCTCAGTGTGGTCGTGCACACCTGTAATCCTAGCACTTGGGAGGCTGAGGCAGGAGGATTGCTGGGATTTTTGAGGCGAGCCTGGGTTACAAAGTGAGTTCAAGGCCAGCCTGAATTATATAGTGAAACCCTGTCTCAGAAAGACAAGTCCTTATATGTAAAGTGGTCAATATGATTCATACTTCTCCTCTGTCTAAAACATATTCTCTAACATTATTATTAGGGAACTTGCTCTACAAGATATTTTTAATTCATCTGAAGTCTACCTTTGTGAGAATGTTAGTGTTTTAGTCAGCTTTCTATTACTATACCAAATACCTAAGTTAATTAAATTAAAAAGGAAAGGTTTATTTTTGGCTCACAGTTTTGGAGGTTTCTGTCTATGGTCAATTGACCTGTTGCTTTGGGGCCTGTGGTGAGGCAGCATACCATGGCAGGAGCACGTGGTGGATGGGGCTGCTTACCTCATAACTGCCAGGAAGCAATGGAAAGAGGAAGAGGGTCAGGGTCCATATATCAAGGGTACACCCCAGTGAACTTTCTTCCTTCCACTGGGCTCCTCTTCCTGTGATTTCCACACTTCTTGATAGTATTACAGGCTGAGGATCATTCTTTCAACACAAGAGCCTTCAGGGGACAATCAAGAGCCCAATTCTGGCGTTTAGGTGGGGGTGAAGTTTTGTTACTCGAACAGTAATTTAGTTTTTCTAATCTCACTGAAGAGTCAGTAACTCCCCCATTGACTTGTGGAGCCTCATAAGTATTTGAGTTTGTCTCTGTACCTTTTATTTTATTCCATCTGTCTATCTGTCTATTCTTGGTAATATAAATTTTTTAAAAATATTGCTACTTGATTTAAATATCTTGTAGGGCAAGTTCACTCTTTTTGCTCTTCATTTTCAAACTTAGATTAGCTATTTGGCATGTTTTCCACATAATGTTTAAACCCGATTTATGGTGCGATAGCACAGGAAAGTACACTAAAAATACACAGTATAAAAATACACGACACATCAGAGAGCATACAGTGTAACCAGCGTCCAAACCAAGAAATGGGACACTGCATCCTGCCACAGAAGTTTCCCCATAACTTCTCAAAAAATTATGGTAAAATTCTCACAAAATGCAATTAGTCTTTTTAAAAGCATTTAATGCATTCATAGGGTTGTAAATCACTATCTCTCTTTAGTTTCAAGACATTTTCATCAACCCAGAAGAATATCCATATCCATTAAGCAATCATTCTCCATTATTCCATCCTTTTCCTCCTGGGAAACACTAATGCAATTTCCCTCTCTATGGATTTGCTTATTTTTGATGTTTTATATAAAATGAATCATCTGATAGGTGACTTTGATTGTGCTTTCTTTTACTTTAGAGAGCATTTTCTAGATTCATCTAAGTTGTAGTACGTAGGAGTACTTCATTCTTTCTTATGGCTGAATAATATTCCAACACATAGATAGGCATTTTGTTTACCCGTTCACTCACGGATGGACATTTGGGCTGTTTCCACCTTTTGTTGCTGTGGATAGTGCTGCTATGCATGCCTCTTTTTAACTTTAAACTCTTCTCGCACTCTCGCAATGACTGCTTTGGTGACTATGCTCTTAAAAAGTAACTATGTCACATATTTTAGTATTGCCAATGTGCTGAATTTTACACAAATGTAACCATGCAGTACATAACCTTTTGTGTCTGGCTTCCTTTATTTAGCATCACAGTTTGAAGATTTAGTTAGCTATGTTGGGTATAGTTGTGCAGCTGGCCCTCTGTCTGCAAATTCTGCTTCTGGAACTTCAACCAATCATGGATAGAAAATATTTGCTGTATCAAATGAATACACACTTTTTTCTTACCACTATACAGGATAACAACTACTTACGTGATAATGTCTTGGTTTTACTAACCATCTCTACTTTTTAACTTTTGACTTCATTAATCACTCCCATGGTCTTTATTGTTTTCTTTCTGCCTGAGGATCTATCTCTTTCTCTGTTTTTGTTGGTGGCTATTTACCCAGGTTCTGGATTTGAACGTTTTGCTCATTATGATTAACCTTTCATGCCTCCTAAAATGCTCATTTAACGTGTTGCTTGGAATTTGCTCTGAAAATGGGCATGTAGCGTTTGCACTGGCATTTAGTTTTAAAGTGTAATATTTCGTGAATGATTTTCTAGCCCTCAAGCTATTTAACTACATGCCAATAAATTTTCAGATATGAGATTTAAAAACTATCACTTTCTTAGTTTCTCCTTTTGTATTAGTCTGAACACATGGTTTATGTGATATTGATCCTCAGTCATGTAATAAGACTGCTTTTACATCCTAATTATGGTCCATACTTGTAAGTTTCCTTGAAAAGATTGCTTACTTTCTGTTTGCAGGACAGAGAAATTTGAACAACTAAGATGAACAAATTCATATCATTATATAACTAAGCCCATTAGCTGCATGTTCAGTTCTGCATTACTTTCACTTTTGTCTACATGACTACTTTGTTTCTAGAAAGGAATGCTCAGGTCTCCAACTACAGCTGCTTCTTTATATTTCGTTATATGTTGAAATTCAAGTTGGCACAACGCGAAAAGTCAGGCAAATGGCTCAAAGACAAGAATGAAAGGAATAAACCCTTCATTATTTGTAGATGATCTACACCTACAAAGTTTACATAAAATGACTGGAATTAATGAGATTAGTAAGGTAGCTGGATATCAACCCTGTACCCTAAAGTAGATTTGAAGTTTTGTATCTAAGTAATAAAAAAATAGGAAATGTAATTTAAGAAGTACCATTGATAAAAGGATCCAAAACATTAGTTAGGACTTGGACAAATGTTACAAAGATGGACACCAGGGAGATGTCTAAAGATAGTGTCACATCATATTTATTTATTTATTTATTTTTTCTGGGGATGGAATCCTGGGTTACATGCATGGTAGAAAAGTGCTTTATTACTGGGGTGTCAGTGTTTTTTGGGGGGTCCCGGGAATAGAGCTCAGGACTTCATGCATGCCATGCAGGCACTGTGTCACTGAGCTAAATCCTCGACCCAAGTGCTTTACTGCTGACCTGTATCTCCAGCTCAACATCAGTGACTTTAATAGTGAACATTACAAACCACCTAATGTTTGTCACTTTGAGAATTGGTTAAATACATTTTAGGACCTTACATAGCAGAAACTATACTGCCATTAAAAATGAAAATGTTGACAATTATATAGTGACATGGAAGGATGTGCGTGTGTGCATGTGTGTGCGTGTGTGCGCGTGTGATGATTTAGATCTAAAGTGCACCCCAAAGCCTCCTGTGTTCGGAAGATGATTGGTTATGGGGCACTATAGCTGACTTGCTTTAGTCAGCCAATCAGAAGAGGTGGATCTGGAACGGGCATCTGTAGAGGCATGTCATCATGGCACAAGCAGCTTTCCTTGGCCAGACCCGTCTACCAAGCCATTTCTATCTTCCACTGACCGTGAACTTCAAAAATGAGCCAAAATAAACCTTTTCTCCATTAAATTATTGGTGCCAGTATTTTGTCAACAGTAAATGTGAAAAGTGACTAAGATAGTGGGCAACATATACTTCTTGTGGAGCTGGGAATTGAACCCAGGGTCTTGTGCATGCTAAGTATGAGTTCTACTACTGAGCTATACCCCTAGCCCCTGCAATAGATTTTTGCATAAGAAGAAATCCATGAGGTAGAAGAAAGCAGTGACACACTAATTTCATTTAAATAAAATAACATATACATCTCTACATGTTTATATGTATTGAGTCTAGAAGCACGTCCACCAGAATACTGTAGCTACCACTTCTTTTTGTGGTAGTGAGGATAGAAACCAGGGCCTTGCCATGGTAGGCAAGCACTCTATCACTGAGCTGCATTTTAGCTAGTCCCTTTAAAAAATTTTTTTTGAGACAGTGTCTCACTAAATTGCTCATGCTGGCCTTGAATTTGTGATCCTTCTGCCTCAGCCTCCCACGTAGCATGTGCCACCACATCCAGCCATGGCAATCACTGCTTGATGGGACCTTGGTGATTTCATCTTTGAATTTTTCTTTATATTGTGATGTTCAAAACAACAAAGACATGCCATTTTTATTCTAAAGTGATGGCTATATATTATTTTTAACTGGGGTAATGGTCACATAGGTGCTCATGGTATCATTTTTTCTTTAAAAATGTACATATATGATGGTGCACATCTGTAATCCTAGCTACTTGGGAGGCTGAGGCAGGAGGGAAAGTTTGAGCCCAGCCTCGGTAACTTAGAACCAGTCTCAAAACAAAAAGTGGAAAAAGGACTGGGGATGTAGGTCAGGGATACAGCACCCCTGGATTTGATCTCCTGTACAGAAAAAAAAGTAAATCTGTGAATTAGATAGTATTATAATATATATTTCATGATACAATAATGGCATTTTAAAAGAATCATCAAAACAAAAAATACAGCTATTTTTCACTTTAAAAAACTCTGCATCTTAGATAGTGATGGAGAGAAAGATAAAAAATGAAGAGTTGATAGATTCTAGATGAGACTGTGGGAAAAGCTGCTTTTAAAGAGTTTCTTGCAATGTTATTATTTAAGCCTAAGTAGAAACTGGAAAACAGCCCTGAACATGGAGAGCAGACAGGCCACAGCTCTCGGTGGCTGCAGAGACTGTGACCAATCACGGAATGTTCCAAAGACCCTCACCCTCAAGAACGGTCACTGTAGGGACAATATCTTTAATTACCTGATCAGCACAGCCATAGAATAAGGAGACTGTAGTGGCACCAAAGATGAGTTTGGGCCAGGAGAATTCTCTAGAGATGGAACCTCGGAAGATATGGAAAGCACTTGGGTTCGGGGTGTAGCACTCTGGTTGGGCAGTCCAGTTTCCTTCTCTGGTCTCTCCTGGGATGGCGTAGAAGTAATCATGCTGTAGCTGCTTGTATCCTCCCACTTTTCTAAAGGCTTAAAAAAAGCATAATATTTACCATTTCCTTAAAGAGCACAGTAACACATGAGTGAAGAAGCAAGAATGCAAACTAAGACCCAATGTGATTGGCGGTATTCCAATCTGGCACATGACTGAGACCTGGCCAACATTCCCTGTCTCCTGGGCAACCAATGACGTATGAGGAATGGACGTGACCAAGCTGGGCTATTCAGATTTGCTCTAGTGTTCTTGTGCTGATGAAACCAAAGAAAACTGCTTCTTTCCACTAACCTCTCTCTCTCCCTCTCTTTCTCTCTCTTTCTTTTTCTCTCCATCTCTCTCTCTTTTCCAGTACTGAGGATTAAACCTAGGGCTTTGCACCGAGCTATAGCCCTAGCATTTTAAAATTTTGTTGTTTTAAAATTTGAGACAGGGTTTTGCTAAATTGCCCAGGCTGAGCTCAGACTTGGAATACTCCTACCACAGCATTCCAGAGTGCTGGGATTATAGGCCTGTGCCACCAGGTCCAGCTCCTCTGGTTCTGAGATAACACGGTGATCCGAAGCTCTTTTGTCTACCGGCTTTGAACTAAAGTTCTGTCACATGTTATGCAAAGAATCTGGACTCAAACATAGATTAATATTCTTTTTCTCTGCAATGCCAGCAAAACATTTATAAAATTTCCTAGTTGAAATTTTCTTCAGATACTATGGTGCTCCCAATATCCCAAGTGATAAAAAATCTTAACATTAAGGAAAAACATTTTAAAATGTACTGAAGCATCCATTTCACAATGTTTTATTTTGCCATATAATGCCATGTTCCTTTGAAATAGGCTCAGTGTTTGAAATGAGTTCAGAGTCATTTGGAGTTCAGGATATTGAGTGACTATTGAAGATACTTCTTGGCATTTGTAAACATGAATTCATATGGATTAAAAAAAAAAAGTGAATCCAGGTGTGGTGGCACACACCTGTAATTCCAGCTACTTGGGAGGCTGAGGCAGGATGACTGCACATTTTGAGGCCAGCCCAGGCAACTTAGTGAGACCTTTTCTTAAATAATTTTTTTTTAAAAGGGCTAAGGCAGAGCGGTCATCACACGTTATTCCCTCACGGCATTCCCTCACGGCAGTTCAGGTTACTTCTTCAGAGGGGGGAATGTTATAGGTAGCTGAGTTAGATAGAAATATTATGCGAAGTGAGACAGGGCCAGGCCCTCAAAAGAGCCAATATGGAAGACAAGATACCTTGCCAATGGAGACATATTTGCTGTGGGCCAGACCTCAAGACAAAACACTAAACAAATTCACCTACATACCTCCCTAGGGATAGACATCAGGGATTGATATTCTAAATAGGTTGCAATCACTTTGAAAAAGCCAGGAAGAGGGGGCTGGGGATTTAGCTCAGCGGCACAGTACCTGCCTGGCAAGTGCAAGGTCGTGAGTTCGATTCCCAGTGCCAGAAGAAAAACCAAAACCGAAAAAAAAAAACAAAGCCAGGAAGAGTCACTAACCCAACCCCCTACAGGAAAAGCCCCTGTTCTATATTCATATCCACTTGCTACTCGCTTCCCCATTTGATCCCAATTTAATCAATTTTACCTGAACAATTATACTTGTAATCTTATTGGTTGACCATAGTTTTGTCCCACCTCATACCCACCTTGTAATTTCCCATTTTCCCCTATCTCGGACCTGCCTCACCTCGTGGTTTTGCTCTATGAAGTCCCTGGGAAGGGCAGGGTCCTTGGCAACCCACTCAGGCCCCCTCTGTCCCTCTCTTGAACAGAAACTTTCTTTCCCTCAATAAATACATTTTGCTCTTAAAAACAAACAAACAGAAAAAAAAAAAAAAA